TCCTCCAGAGTCCTCTCTTCCTACTCTTGCTGACCCTGCGTCTGACTCCCTTCGTGCTGCCAGTCCTACTGCCACGCGTTTCCTAGCCACTGTTGTCACTGACCCTTCCTTTGAGTCCACTGCTGCGTCTGCCTTAGTTACCGAGCTTGTCGACTTCGCTGCTCACTGTCGTCTAGACTACGCCGCTAGTCTTGTTGCTGAGTCTGCGTCTGTCTGTCCTCCGTCCGTCGGGGGTGAGTGTGCTCTTAGCACGGACGTCCTTGAGGACCGACAGGAGGAGTTCCAGTGTTTTGCTGCTGCTTTACCTCATCTCGTGTCCACGCTGCTTGCCCCTGAGGGAGACCCGGATGCACCAGACATCCCGACCCCGCGCTCTTACGCAGAGGCGATAGAGGGTCCTTACTCCTCTCAGTGGCAGGCAGCCATGGACGCAGAGATGGCTTCCTGGAAGTCCACAGGCACCTACGTCGACGAGGTTCCCCCTCCTGGGGCGAACATTGTCAGTGGCATGTGGATTTTCAGGGTGAAGCGGCCGCCGGGTTCTCCGCCTGTCTTCAAGGCGCGCTACGTGGCTCGAGGCTTCAGTCATCGGCAGGGAGTTGACTACTTTCAGACCTTCTCCCCGACCCCGAAGATGACCACTCTTCGGGTTCTGCTGCACGTTGCTGCTCAGCGTGACTACGAGCTTCACTCTCTTGACTTCAGCACTGCTTTCCTACAGGGCAGTCTGCACGAGGAGATCTGGCTGCGCCGCCCACCTGGCTTCACTGGGTCGTTTCCTCCTGGTACCCAGTGGAGCCTCCGGCGGCCAGTCTACGGTCTCCGCCAGGCGCCACATGAGTGGCACGACACACTGAGGACTACGCTTGCGGCTCTTGGGTTTGCTCCTTCCACTGCTGACCCGTCGCTGTTTCTTCGCACCGACACTTTGCTGCCGCCGTTCTACATCCTCGTGTACGTCGACGACTTGGTCTTTGCTACAGCTGACACTGCTGGACTCGCCCACGTGAAGTCCGAGCTGCAGAAGAGACACACGTGCACAGACCTGGGTGAACTGCGCAGCTATCTTGGCTTGCAGATCACCCGGGACAGAGCACGGCGCACCATTACCTTGACTCAGTCACACATGGTGCAGCAGGTCCTTCAGCGCTTCGACTTCACGTACTCCTCGCCTCAGGCCACTCCTCTGTCTACTCGCCACTCGCTCTCAGCTCTGCCTTCGGATGAGTCCGTAGAGCCGAGTGGCCCGTACCCAGAGCTTGTTGGCTGCCTCATGTACCTGATGACCTGCACTCGACCTGACCTAGCATACCCTCTGAGCATTCTGGCGCGCTATGTTGCTCCTGGGAGACACCGACCAGAGCACATGGCTGCAGCGAAGAGGGTGTTGCGCTACTTGTGCAGTACTTCAGGCTTGGGGCTAGTGCTTGGAGGGCGGAGTCCAGTGGTCCTCACTGGTCACGCAGACGCGTCTTGGGTTGACGACCTGGCTACGCAGCGGTCGTCACAGGGTTACACCTTCAGCCTTGGTTCCGGCTCTGTTTCGTGGCGGTCTACTCGCTCGTCTTCTGTTCTCAGCTCCAGCTGTGAGGCTGAGATCTACGCAGGGGCCATGGCTGCACAGGAGTTACGCTGGCTCACCTACTTGCTGACTGACCTGGGAGAGCCGCCTCGTTCTCCTCCAGTTCTGTACGTAGACAACAAGGCTATGCTGGCCTTGTGTCGGGAGCACAGACTGGAGCACAGAACGAAGCACATTGCTCTTCGCTACTTCCTTGCTCATGAGCTGCAGCAGCGTGGTCAGCTGCGCCTTGCTTACGTGGCCTCTCAGGCCAACACTGCTGATATCTTTACCAAGGCACTTCAGCCTTGTGATCATCAGCGCTTCTGTACTATGCTCGGTCTTGTGCCTACTTGGCCTCACTTGCTTACCTCTTGAGTTTGCTTGTACTGTGATCTCTATATACCTGCACTTGCTTGTTTACCTTTATATATGAACTTGCATGTGAACTGGCCTTATGGCCTTTGAACCTGTGCTCAGATTGTGTGGTGACGTTGTGATCCACCCTGAGCTTGCTTTGCTTTGCTTTGCTTTGCTTTGCTTGACTGGTCTTTTGACCCCTAGTTCTCCCCCACTTTGCCTATGGGGGTGTGTCAGATATATATGCCTTAGCCTATGTAGGCTGTAGTGGGGTAGACACTAAGGGGTACAGCTTTCATATTTGTATCTCACACTTTCCTAGTTCATTCATTCCTGTTTCATTCTTCACACTAGGGGCGACGGGCCGCGGGGCCAGGAACGAAGGGGGCCGCGGGGCCGGGGGCCTAGGGGCGACGGGGGCCGCGGGGCCAGAAACGAAGGGCCGCGGGGCCAGAAACAAAGGGCCGCGGGGCCAGAAATGAAGGCCCAGGGCCGCGGGGCGACGGGGCCTAGGGCGACGGGGCCGAGGGCGACGGGGCCTAGGGCGACGGGCCGCGGGGCGACGGGGCCTAGGGAGACGGGGGCCGCGGGGGCCGCGCGGCGACGGGGCCTATGGCGACGTGGGCCGCGGGGCGACGGGGCCTAGGGCGACGGGGGCCGCAGGGCGACGAGGGCCGCGGGGCGATGGGGCCTAGAGCGACGGGGCCGAGGGCGACGGGGCCTAGGGCGACGGGCCGCGGGGCAATGGGGCCTAGGGCGACGGGGCCGCGGGTCGACGGGGCCTAGGGCGACGGGGCCTAGGGCGACGGGCCGCGAAGCGAAGGGGCCGGGTGGCCTAGGGGCGACGGGCCGCGGGGCCAGGAACAAAGGGGGGGGGGGGGGCGCGGGGCGTCGGGCTGAGGGCGATGGGCCTAGGGGCCTAAGGGTCGCGACAGGCAGTAGGGGCAGCTCGAGGGCTGCAGTGGGCGGCTAGCGGGGTAGCGCTGTGGTGGGCCCAAGGAAAACGGTCCTAGCGGAGGACCTGCTCTGATTCCATGTCAGAATGATGAACGAGAATGAATGCACTATGAAAGAGTTGGGTACAAGTACTAACCCTAATTGGGTTGTACCCCTTATGGGCTACCCCACTATAGCCTACACAATATAAGCTATACAACATTTTGACACTAGAAACCGCCAGCCAATCGCAATATGATACTGTACACCAAATCGCAGGCTACATTGGTCCACATGGCAGTATTTCGTGAGTCGATCAGATTCTAATCCAACGGTTGTCATCAGAGTACGCTCATCACCACGTATGCGTTTTTAAGTTTCAACTAGAGTACATTGTACGCCACGTGGCGCTGACGTGACACTTTCGCAGAGGTCGCTCAAAATTGACGGGAAAGTTGCTTTACTGTATACCAAGTTGGTTGCTTCAATGTGTACAGTTAGTGACGGAAGAATGACAGAAAAGTTGCTTCGCAAGTCACGTTCGGTACACAGATTTAGAACCTTGACTTTTTACGTTGCATTTCGCACTCCCCTTTTTCGCGATAGTATCGTCAACTTGAAGGCGATGTCTATGGAAATTGTAAGTCGCGGAGTCATCACTTGTGGCCAACGATGATGACGTGGCGAGAACGATCAGCAAAAGCAGGTAGGCTGGTGCAAGTCGGAAGCTTCGTCATCCGGATGCCACTTCCAGCAATTGTAGGCTGTTTATGGTGGTGTTCGACAGTGCTGCTCGCGGCTTCTTACAACGCAAATTGAGTTCATTTGAATTCTGGAAGAAAATGAACTGGCTCTTGTAATGAAGTATATTATAAAGAAACCAGTATCTGAGGGGATACGTGGGAGGCCGCCGAAGCGGTCACGTGCCTAATACGCCCATTTAGTGGTACAGTAGGCCATCTGAAAGGAAGGGGAGAAACTACTCGGTCTACTAGATTGGGCCCTTGAGATACTTTACCCTGGATTGACGCTCAGATGGAAGAGTGGCCAAAACGTTGGGTGCGCGTCGGGCCTCTGTATATCGGATCGCTGTGACGGTGGATGTTGCCGGTCTACACCAATGAGAAGGATGGGTTTCGCGACCAAAATGTGATTGGGGAAGCGATAAGGGCCATTTTTAGGTCCAATCCCATCAGTACTAGAAATTTGCTCAGGTGGGAGCCCAACAGCTTTCTGGCACTGTGGAGGTGCTGCTGGTGCTAGAGGTGCTGGAGCTACCACTACTGGAGGTACTGGAGCTGCTAGTGCTGGAGGTCCTGCTGGTACTGGAGGTACTGGACCTGCTGGTGCGCTTCGCCACCTTCTTGGTCTTCCGCCAGCTCCTACTGAGTTCCCAGTCGCTGGTACTACTCCTTCGTTACTGTTCCCACAGCTCCTGCCTCACTCCCCACTGCCAGCTCCTGCTCCTTACACTGCTGTGACAGAGTCCCTGACTGAGCTTCGAGAGCCTGAGACTCGTGCTTCCACTCTTGAGCGTTGAGAGCCCGAGACTTATGCTTCCACTCCTGAGCGTCGAGAGCTTGAGACTAGAGCTTCTGACCGTGCTCGTGTTCCTCGTGTTCGTCGTTCTCGTGCTCCGGCTATCCCAGGCACTCACGATATGACACTCCGTCCTTCCTCTGTTCCACAGCGTGTTGTCCTGCCGTCACCTCCTGCGTCTTCTCTTCCTGCTGTTGCTGACCCTTCGTCTGACCTTGCTCGTGCGTCCAGTCCGACTGTTACTCGCTTTCTTGCTACGGTTGTGACGGACCCTACGCTCTCGTCTCCTGCTGCGTCTGCCTTTGTCGCTGAGATAGTTGACTTTGCTGCTGCGTACCGCCTAGACTACCTTGCGAGTCTCGTTTCTGACCTTGACCCTGCCTGTCCTCCGTCCGTCGGGGGTGAGTTTGCCCTTGGCTGTGACGTTCTTGAGGACAGTCAAGAGGAGCTGGAGTGTCTTGCGGCCGCTGCACCTCATCTTGCGACCATGTTGCTTGCCCCTGAGGGAGACCCGGATGCACTTGACATCCCCACCCCGCGCTCTTACAGAGAGACGATCTCGGGTGAGTACTCCTCTCAGTGGCCGATAGCCATGGACGCAGAGATGGCTGTCAAGATAGGTAGCTTAGTAGGAAAGAATGAGTTGGATTAGGGCAAGGAGGGGGGATACAATGAAGTGTCGAGCAATTTACTGTACCCCCTAAGGCTATACCCACTACAGCCTAGATAGCAGTAAACTTATAATTTGACACGCCCCCATAGGCGAAGTGGCGGATAGCAAACACAACAAAGCGGTCACAAGACCAGTCAGGAGAAGAAACAAAGCAAAGCAATCTCAGGGTGGATCTCAAGATCACCACGCACTCTGAGCACTAGCAAGCGTCCATAGGCCAGTCCAAGAGGTTACAAAAGATATATAGGTGCGAGTACAAGCAGAGCAAAGCTACGGCAGACGAGCAAAAAGGTCAACAAGCCACCGCCTCACCCTCCCCTCACAGTGGCACGCGCGGCCGTGAGAGAGAGAGGAGGAGGGGCGGCTGCTGGCTCCTCATACCCGCCACCCCCATACCCTCCAAGATCCCGCCACCCCATACCCCCCAAGATCCCGCCACCCCCATACCCCCCCCCCCCACTGCTGCACCCGCAGCAGGGGGATGGAGGAGAAGGGGGGGGGGGGGCGGGGGGGCTGGTGCTGCAGAGCCCCTCCCCCCCACTGCTGCACCCGCAGTAGAGGGATGGAGGAGAAGGGAGGGCGGGGGGGGGGTGCTGATGCTGCAGATCCCCTCCCCCCCACTGCTGCACTGGCAGCAGGGGAATGGAGGAGAAGGGGGGGGGGCGGGGAGGGGGGGGGTGGTGCTGCAGATCCATTCCTGCCACCCCCTTACCCACCAAGATCCCGCCACCCCCATACCCCCCCCCCCACTGCTGCACCCACAGCAGGGGGATGGAGGAGAAGGGAGGGAGGGGGGGGCGGGGGGGGGTTGGAGGGGGGTGCGAGGGGCACTCACGAGGGGGTGCAAGGGGCACTCACGAGGGGTGTGCGGGGGGCACCCACGAGGGGGTGCAAGGGGCACTCACGAGAAGGTGCAAGGGGCACTCACGAGGGGGTGCGAGGGGCACCCACGAGGGGGTGCGAGGGGCACTCACGAGGGGGTGCAAGGGGCACTCACGAGGGGGTGCGAGGGGCACCCACGAGGGGGTGCAAGGGGCACTCAAGAGGGGGTGCAAGGGGCACTCACAAGGGGGTGCGAGGGGCACCCACGAGGGGGGTGCGAGGGGCACTCACGAGGGGGTGCAATGGGCACTCACGAGGGGGTGCGAGGGGCACCCACGAGGGGGTGCGAGGGGCACTCACGAGGGGGTGCGAGGGGCACCCACGAGGGGGGTGCGAGGGGCACCCACGAGGGGGTGCAAGAAGCACTCACGAGGGGGTGCGAGGGGCACCCACGAGGGGGTGTGAGGGGCACTCACGAGGGGGGTGCAAGGGGCACTCACGAGGGGGTGCGAGGGGCACCCACGAGGGGGTGCAAGGGGCACTCACGAGGGGGTGCGAGGGGCACCCACGAGGGGGTGCAAGGGGCACTCACGAGGGGGTGCAAGGGGCACTCACGAGGGGGTGCGAGGGGCACCCACGAGGGGGTGCGAGGGGCACTCACGAGGGGGTGCGAGGGGCACCCACGAGGGGGTGCGAGGGGCACTCACGAGGGGGTGCAAGAGGCACCCACGAGGGGGTGCAAGGGGCACCCACGAGGGGGTGCGAGGGGCACTCACGAGGGGGTGCAAGGGGCACTCACGAGGGGGTGCGAGGGGCACTCACGAGGGGGGTGCAAGGGGCACTCAGATACCCTCCTCCCACTGCTATGGAGGAGAAGGGGGGGGGGGGGGGGGGGGGGGCGGTGTAGAAGCTGCTCGGGCAACAGCAGGGCGCGCGACGGGCAGGAACCCGTCATTCGCCACCCCCGCCACCCCCATACCCTCCCCCCCCCCTGCTGTACGAACAGCAGGGGGAAGGAGGAGAAGGGGGGGGGGGGGGGGGGGGGCGGGGGGGGGGGCGGTGCAGGGGCTGCGTGGGCGACCGCAGGTCGCACGAAAAACATCCGCCACCCCCTCACACCCTCTCCCCCACTCCCCCACAGCAGCAGGCGCAGCCGTGAGAGGGGAGGAGGCGTGGCAGCAGCTGCTGCTGCTGAGGCACATCCGCCACCCCCTCACACCCTCTCCCCGCAGCAGCGGACGCGGCCGTGAGAGAGGAGGAGGCGTGGCGGCAGCTGCTGCTGCTGAGGCACATCCGCCACCCCCTCACACTCTCTCCCCCCTTCCCAATGGGGGGGGGGGGGGGGGGGGAGGGGGGGGAGGGGGCGGGGACGAGGAATGAGCTGCACGTGCGTCTGCAGGGCGCGCGGACAGGAAGAAACCGTCGCGCGCTCGAGGCGTGCGACGGGTAGAAACCGACGGGCTAGGGGCCGGGGCCTAGGGGCGTCAAGCGACGGGGCCGGGCCTAGGGGAGCGACGGGCGACGGGGCCGACGGGCCTAGGGGCGTTGGGCGACGGGCCGGGCCTAGGGGAGACGGGCCGTGGCGACGGGCCGAGGGGCAACGGGCGACGGGCGACTGGCCGGGGCCGGGGCCTAAGGGCAACGGGCCGAGGGGCGACGGGCTAGGGGCCGGGGCCTAGGGGCTTCGGGCGCGAGCGACGGGCGATGGGGCCGGGGCCTAGGGGCGTCAGGCCGGCCTAGGGACGACGAGCCTAGAGGCGACGGGCCGTGGTGACAGGCCAAGGGGCGACGGGCCGGGGCCGAGAGCTAGGGGCGACGGGCCGGGGTGACGGGCCGAGGGGCAACGGGCGACGGGCCGTGCCGAACGTCGAGAGTAGGGCCGCACGAGGGCGGCGCGCAGGGCAGCAGGTGGTGGGCCCAAGGGTCGTAACTACTCTAATACCATGTCGAGATAGGTAGCTTAGTAGGAAGGAATGAGTTGGATTAGGGCAAGGAGGGGGGATACAATGAAGTGTCGAGCAATTTACTGTACCCCCTAAGGCTAAACCCACTACAGCCTAGATAGCAGTAAACTTATAATTTGACAATGGCTTCCTAGAAGTCCACAGGCACCTACGTTGACGAGGTTCCCCCTCCTGGGGCGAACATCGTCAGTGGCATGTGGATTTTCAGGGTGAAGCGGCCGCCGGGTTCTCCGCCTGCCTTCAAGGCGCGTTACGTTGCTCGAGGCTTTAGTCAGCATGACGGGGTCGACTTCTTTCAGACCTTCTCCCCGACTCCGAAGATGACCACTCTTCGGGTGTTGCTACACGTTGCAGCTCAGCGTGACTGCGAGCTGCACTCCCTCGACTTCTCCACAGATTTCTTGCAGGGTAGCCTTCACCAGGCCATCTGGCTGCGCCGTCCACCTGGCTTCACTGGGTCGTTTCCTGAGGGTACCCAGTGGAGCCTACAGCGACCAGTTTACGGCCTGCGTCAGGCACCTCGCGAGTGGCACGACACACTAAGGACGACACTTGCGGCTCTTGGGTTTGCTCCTTCGACTGTTGACCCGTCGCTGTTTCTGCGCACCGACACTACCCTGCCGCCGTTCTACGTTCTGCTGCAGGAGAGGCACACCTGCACTGACCTGGGTGAGCTACGTAGCTATCTTGGCTTGCAGATCACCCGGGACAGAGCACGGCGCACCATCACACTGACTCAGTCACACATGGTGCACCAGGTCCTTCAGCGCTTCGACTTCCAGTTCTCCTCGCCACAGCCCACTCCTCTGTCTACCGGCCACTCGCTCTCAGCTCCACCTTCGGACAAGTCCGTAGAGCCGAGTGGTCCGTACCCATAGCTTGTGGGTTGCCTCATGTACCTGATGACGTGCACACGACCTGAACTCGCGTACCCTCTCAGCCTCCTGGCTCGCTATGTGGCTCCCGGTAGACACCGAAAGGCGCACTGGGATGTTGCAAAGAGGGTACTACGTTACTTGTGCAGTACATCGGGCATGGGGCTCGTGCTTGGAGGACAGGGTTCAGTGGTACTCACAGGACACTCCGATGCTTCTTGGGCCGACGACCAGGCGACTCAGCGTTTGTCACAGGGTTACACCTTCAGCCTTGGCTTTGGTTCTGTCTCGTGGAGGTCCACTCGTTCTTCTTCTATGCTTGGTTCCAGCTGTGAGGCCGAGATCTACACCTGGCTTCACTGGGTCGTTTCCTGAGGGTACACCATAAGGGGTACAACCCCAATTAGGTCTAGTACTTGTACACATTTTCAACCTTAGTCAATCATTCCCTCGAGTAGGTTTCTCACAATTTTCAGGTGCAATCCCATCGGTACGGGAAATGTGCTCAGGTGGGAGCCCAACAGCTTTCCGGCAATGTTACGGGCACTGTTCCGTCCCTGTTCACAGGTGCCGCAACAGACCCTGGTACAAGCTCGCCACTCACTCACTGTTCAGCTGACGGATTTTATTGTCTCTGACACATTCTGGCGGAAATCAAACAGACGACAGACCAAACTACCCGAAGCTGTAAAGGCCACCTGAAAAACAAAATAAAACCCCTAGAGAACCCGGAAGCCTTTTCGGGAGGGATCAACCCTCAACACGGGAACCCATCTGGTGTTTATGGTTGATGCTTCCCGATTCAATTCCGTTCCGATTGGGTTTTATTTATTTTTACGAAAACCTTGGGGAGGCATCAACCCTAAACACCAGGAGGTTCCCGTGTTTAGGGTGATCTTCCAAAAATGCGTCCAGCGTCACTGTAGCTTTTAGTTTGTTTTTTGGGGTATGTCTTAGCAGTTCCTGGTAGCGTGGGTAAACGAAGCGTGTGTGAGCGCATTAATTTCACTCAGCGAGTACAGATTTGAGTGGCGCATCTTTTCAAGGCTCTGTTCCGGCACGTGTGTACAGTGCGCAACAGAAACTTTGAAAGATGCGCTGGGCTCCCACTTGAACATATTTTATGTACTTTAGAGATTGCACCTGGAAATGGCCCAAGCGATAAGGTAGAGCATCTACTCGCGGTCAAGATGACGTGTCAAGGCGTTTGTTCCGACTCGGATGCTTCACAAGACTGGTGTTTAGAACTTCTGCCCGGCAATAAAATGAACTTATGCCTGTGAACGGCGTGTGCTCAAGAGCGGCCCAACTGCCCGGATATGTAATAGGGGTTTCAAGAGCATCAGATGTACACGACATGTACAGTGCCCATTGGTCCTGCCGCCCGCGACCTTCTGATCACCAGCAGAACCCGCCCGCCCGACCTCTCCTCTCACTCTCTCACTGCTGCAGCCGATGAAGGACTTGCCCTTCTCTCTCTCTCTCTCTCTCTCTCTCTCTCTCTCTCTCTCTCTCTCTCTCTCTCTCTCTCTCTCTCTCTCTCTCTCTCTCTCTCTCTCTCTCTCTCTCTTGAACGGACCTTTGTATTGATATAGATTAGAGATACAGCAGAGGCAAGCAAGCAACAAATAGGTATGTCTAACTATTCTCCTCCCTACCCCTCCCCCCCCCCCCCCCCCCCCTCCCAAGTCTTCTACTCGCTACCATTGCCTGGTTCTAGGGTAGCAAAGCACTCCCCCGGGTCCAGGATCCCCTCGGGGCCTCCTAAGGCTGGGTTCTCCTTCTGGGCTGCCAGGTTCATCTTGATAAGGAAGCTCACTGCCTGTGCCCTTTGCAAGGCGACAGACCACCGCTGGCGGAACTGGTGCAGCAGCTTTGCGGCCTGGAAGCTTGAGGGGTCCGCGTTGAAGTGTAAGCGTGCTGCTCTGTCCGCCAGGTGCTTCAGGAAAGCCTGCACCTCGTCGCACGGGCAGCCATAGGTCTCGACTGCCAGCGGGTAAAAGCCCGCAAATTCAGCTCTGCCGTGGTATAGCCCGATATAGCTCTCTCTCTCTCTCTCTCTCTCTCTCTCTCTCTCTCTCTCTCTCTCTCTCTCTCTCTCTCTCTATCTCACATCAGCGCGTCTCTCGTATAACCATTCTGCGCAAGCCCAGCTGTAGAGCCATTCCCACCAAACTCCATCGGATTTCTCAGTAGCCTTTTGTCATCCTCGTGTCTTTCACATCTTGGTTAACTGATTCTGATGGCCGTGTTCGCTGAATCCGAATACGTGAAAGCGCTGACCGAGGAAAACTGGGACGCCACCGTTCGTTGTGGTCGGGATCTGGTCGTGTCCACCATCTGTCAAAAAGTTGGCGCCATTATTCGCGAGCTCGCGAAGCAGTTTCAACACTCAGTAAGATTCTACGAGCTGGACGGCAACAAATACCGCATGGTGGAGGGGCAGCTGGAAGTGGAAGCTACGCTCATGGTGTTGATGTATCGCGACAGGGATCTCATACACAGCTTCCGCCGGCCCACTACCGTGTACCCCCTCCTAAAGTGGATTATGAATAACCGCTAGGAGCACGCTTTATGTTCCCCGTGCTGCTGTGATTTGCTTGCAAATGTCTTCACCCCTAACATGCAGTTGCCTTATCCAGAGTTATAAAAGTATATGCGCTGTGATTTGTATGTGCAACCATAAATGCAACAGCGAGGATATGGCACGCGATCTCATTACCGTATTACCCTGGATAGAAGCGCATGTGCGCTTATAATAAAGCAGTGTTTTTTAGGGGGGTGCGCTTCTAATCGAGTCGTTTTTATAAGCGCATGCGCTTGTAATGGGAAAAAACAAAATTCACTTTTAAACATACCAAATTGAAGCCCGCAATAAGGCGAATTCAACCGACCATGCAACACGTGGGATCGTGCATGGTTTTTAGACAAAAACAGCAGCGGTTCGGTTTCCCACCGCACAGTTTTGTCTAGAACCATCGATCGTGACAGCAGTGACGGGGATGTTGCCGTGCGGCCCAATCACAGTCGCATGCATTGCGTGGCATCTGCATTTCCCCCGAACCCTC